GACGTTTAAACTGACATACTATGGATGAAAACTGTTATGATTACCCTACATTTAAAGCATAAATTCGATTTAAACAATAGGTCTACATAATATTCACATATGCTGTTCATAGTGGACATATTGTATTAACCCTACAGTTACAGCATGAAATATTATTTAAACCTTACTATTAGAAATATTATTTAAACCTTACTATTAACATTTTTACATAACATTTATTTATTTTATCTCACAATTCTGACTTTTTTTCTCGCAAATGCAAGTTTATATCTCCTAATTCGGACTTTATAACTCGACTTAACTCAAAAATAGTGAGTTTGTCAAATCTGAGGGGAAAAAGACAGAGGAGCCGAGGGGAAAAGAGAGAATGACGAGTTGTTTTCCCTTATTAGAATTGTGAGATATAATCTCGGAATTGCGAGAAAAAGTCAGAATTTTGAAATATAAAATCTAATTTACCTTTTTTAAATAATTTTATTCCATGGCTCCTTAGACTGCCACTTGAAAACCGTAATTTTCTGCCTCCAGATAGGCTCCGCCCACAAAAACCGTCATCCCTGTTTTGGATCTGTAAGACTATCCCACTCTCTAACGTCAATTTCGTTGAATAACAGTGTTTATCGCTGGGTGACAAGCTCTTGTAATATGCGGAGAACATTTTGAAAATGACATCTAATCAATATAATTTATAATATTTTTAAACCTATCGTGAAATTCTCTAACCGTAAAGGCTATCTCTCCCGGGTTTTCTACAACCATGATGAGCGCATCCTGAATGTTTACAAACCTATAATTGGTCTATTGTTTGTAGTGTGATCAACGTTTGCATAAGTAGTAGATGTGTTAGGGAAGTAACACGTAACATTTTAATTATATTTAGCTAAAATGAACGAAATTACTAGAAAAAAGATTCGTTCATTTTGCTGAACGAGACTCAAAGGTCCGAGTCGGTAAAATGATACGAACTTCCCATCACTACTGAACTCTCTCTCCTCCACATCATGAGTAGACATGCCCCTTACTGCTGATTGGCTACAAGTTTGTTTTGCTATTCGGCTCGAATCAGTTTTAAAGCGTTTTTGAAAAATCGCTTACCCCACCTTTAATGACGTTACAGATTTATGTACAGATTTACGTACAGATTACACGACCAGCAAGGCCAAATATTTAGTTTTCATTTACTTGAGTTTTTAACCCAAAATCTTGGTCTGCTGGTGTTATTAAAAACTTACATTTTTTTATCAACCTTTTCATTTTCATTACAGTTGAATAGTTACATAGGAATAGCATTATAAATTAAGTCCTATAATTACCATTTATAACACAAGATATTATAAAACGGGGTGTAAAACAGGACCTTTTTGTTCTGTCAGGATTCATTAAATGGCTTTACTGTCCCCACACACCTTACACTGATTAACCAGCCACAATACACATATACATGTTTAACAGTAATTATCCAAAGCAGAAACTTCATCCACTGCCAGCTGTTATGTTAACGCACCATAAATGGCACTGATAAAAGCACTGTAAACATTGTCAAGTCTCAAAGGGCATTCTGTGGTATCAGTCAGAGCCTGTGCTGCATGAGAAGAACACAGCCTTCGACAATTTCTCCTGATTTATAAAGTTTGTTTGTTTGTTTTTTATTCATCGCAATGTGTACTGGGAAGTGTGCGCGGTTACTGGGGCTAATACTTCTGCCTTCAGCTTTTTTGTGTATAATAGCGAATATACTTTTATTCTTCCCTAATGGAGAACAGTTGGAAACTGACCAGATTTCCCTTCAAGTCTGGCTTATGGGAGGTGTTCTTGGTGGAGGATTAATTGTGAGTAATTCAGTCTGTTGTATTTATCTCATCATTAATGTGGTGTTTGTCTGAACTTGGCTGTTTCCTAAGAAAACAAATCTGACTGTCTTGTTATTATGAGATGCACTCTTAGAAAAAAAGCTACAGAGGTTCTCACCGGGGTGGTACCTTTTTGAAAGCTACAAATATGTACCATTAAAGTACAATATACACTTTAGGTATTAATATGTAACTTTAAGGTCCTTATATGCACCATGTAGGGGTAAATAAGGTTTGAATGTGTACCTTTTGAAAAGGAACCACCCCAGTGACGGATCTTTTTTTCTGAGAATGTGCAATAGGAATTTTATTGTTTACTAACATGAACATGAACTGACTTGGCCTGATGTTTTAGAAGTGAAGTGACGTGATATGTAGCCAAGTATAGTGTACCATACTCAGAATTTGTGCTCTACATTTATCCCATCCAAGAGCACACACACACACACCCGGAGCAGTGGGCAGCCATTTTTGCTGCAGCGCTCGGGGAGCAGCTGGAGGTTCGGTGCCTTGCTCAAGGGTCTCACCTCAGTCGTGGTATTGAGGGTGGAAGAGAGCAATGGTCATTCACTCCCCCCACCTACACCTGCCGGTACCAAGACTCAAACCCATGACCTTTGAGTTACAAGTCCGACTCTCTAACCATTAAGCCACAAACATCAGATACTTCAAACACACTGCTACAAGCCTTTCTGTGCCATTTACTTTATTAATGTATGAATATGATAATATATGGCACACCGATCAATAAAGAGAATTAGAATGGTTAAATTAGCAATAATAGTCAATAAGAATAAAGGATCCTTAGAACTGAGGAACAAAAGCAGAATGTCTGCGGTGAGCAAGTACAGTTATGAGGAACAGTGGTCCATTTTGCAGCGCTTTACTGCTCACACCCTGAAAAATACATTGACTTCGTACTACACTCTCAGAAAAAAATGGTACAAAATCTGGGGCAGAAACCTTTCAAAAGGTACATGCTTATACCTTATTTACCCCTAAAGTGTGCATATAAGTGCCTTAAAGGTACATTTTAGTGTACATATTAGTACCTTCATGGCACATAATTGTACCCTTTGAAAAGGTACTGTCTAATGACAACTTTTGAACTTTTTATTTGTATTTTTCTGAGAGTGTATTGAACATCCTGGATATGACCAGGATGCATTAATCCTGAGGTTACGTAAGTTAGCTCATGTTCACATCAAGCAATAATTGCATTTACAAACGATCATGCTATGAGCAAGTAAACAAGTAAACATAAAGGTTCCAAAAGGGGATTTCGCACAGTGATGTCAGAAGGACAATTTTGAGTTCTCCAAAGAAACAGTTAGTGAACAGTTATTCAAAGAACAAATTTTCTCAGTGTGAAGAACATTTTAATAATCTGAAGAACATTTTTCCACTGTAAAGAATGTTAAAAGTTCTTCATGGAATCACAGATGCCAATAAAGAACCTTCATTTTTTATCATAGAGTAAGTAATTTACACAAACATTACTTAACCTGCTTTACAGCAACCCTTATCTCGTTGACATCACAGTTGATGAAAAGTTAATTTGCACTCACTTTTATTTATCAGATGATGTGTCCAAGCTGCTCAGCCATCAGAGCCGGGGGCAAAGGCTGTTGCGGGGTGGGTTGCTGTGGAAACCGTTGCCGTGTGAGTAAACCTGACACAGAAAAACACCAAAAAATGTAAAATCACTATCCATCACAACAGGAAGCTCACTGGAGAAGCTGTACAATGTGCAGATATTTTTAGCAGTTAGACAAAAACAACCTTCTCTTTTGCATATACACAAATGTATTGTACAGATAAATTACATACAGTGTATATATAACATATTTTGATTGTTTAACATTTTATGCTGTTTTTGTTTTTTTCAGATGCTGAATTCTGTGTTCTCGTCTGCGTTTGGCATTGCTGGGTCAGCCTATTGTGCCTGTGTTGCCATTGCAGCACTCGCTGTTGGGCCAAAATGCCAAATTGAGGGTGGTAAATGGGAATATCCCTTTGAGGATACCGTAGGGTAAGAACACCTAAAACCTAAAAGAAAAATGAAATGAATGCAATGAAATTGCAGCTCTTTGTATGACCACTAGATGAGGTCTTATCCTGCACTTCAACTAAAGCTCCTTCTCTTTTCTTTTTGTCTTGCTGTAACAGGAACAGCAGTTACATAGCGGATAAGTCTACATGGTCCGAGTGTGTCTTTCCCGAGAATGTGGTTCTCTGGCACATCGTGCTGTTCTCCATACTTTTGGGACTGTCTCTGATCCAGATGATACTCTGTGTCATTCAGGTTGTGAATGGATGTGTGGGCTGCCTGTGTGGAGACTGCCGAAAAAGAAAATCGGTAAGTTTTGCGTAACAGTTGTGAGTTTAATTTCCTGAATGAAAACTGCATTTGACTGACTGGCATGTAAAAGAGAATCATTTTTTGCTGTCTACTAAACAGAATATTGGCAGCATGGACAATAGACTGTATTATAACCAGTTACCACTGTAGTCTTTGAGGTCAATCATAGACAAGCAAATCCAAACTGTGTAAACATTAAGACCTCTCAACATTAAAATAATAATGAGATGCCCTATTCATATATTGGAAATGATCTCTCTTCTCTGTACAACAGGATGAGGGAGGTCTGTAAGATCTGCGGAGGGGGAAAACAACAACAAACAAATCAACAATGATAACAGGACAAGAGCTTTCACACAACACTTACAACTTGCAATACATGCCATCCCTAAAGTGATGTTGTGTGTAAATGTAACCGTATTTTAACTTTATTATGTGTTAGTGCTATTGTAGCAGTACATTATAAACAAATATCAAGTAGTAGAAATGTAGAAATACTTTGTCCTTTTTTTATAAACTTTGTGCATTTTGGAATACTAAATCATCAGGTCCTAATGATCTAAAATAACCTTCTTTCACAATAAACATAATTTGCTGACATTTATTTTGTCTCTCATGAGCCATAAAATCTAGTTTTGAGGCATGAATTATTAACTTGAGTAATGTCTATCTTTAGAGTTGGCATCAGATTGCATGAGAATGATATTTCCTCTAGTCTACAGGTTACAGAAATACCCTGTATTTTTTTTTCTGGTGTTCTTGGCAGGAGGCATCAAGTTTTGTTTTGTTTTTTCTTTGCCTTTCTAGTTTCCACTGCGTTTGGGGTGAGACTCTGAAACCATGGGCTGGCTGTTTTCTATTTGCTTTTTGAATGGTCTGATAAAGTCACCACGTTCCCTTTTGCTTTCCTGCCTCCATCTCCGGTCATTCACTCTTTTCACTACTCACTGCTTTCACTATTGTAACTCTGACACCGGAACAAACCAGATCTTGCAGCACACACAGAAAAACAGTAAGTCAAACCCCCTGGTGGTAAAAGCCAGACCTGCAGCTGTGAAAATATTCATACATTGAAACCAGGGTGTGTTTTAAGAAAAAGGGACATTTTTAAAAAGAATAGATTCAGATTCCTTTAAAGTACCTATTAGCTCCCTGAACTCTGAGATGCATAGAGTCTATATACCCTGTGCGCACATTTAGCCCATAATCGTTTTTACCACAGCAGACCTCCACTCTAATTGCTAATCCTGCATACAAACAGCTATTTGAAGCTCATGCTAGGATAAAGGCTGTAGAATCTCAAAACAAGCTTACAGATTGCCCAGACCAATCAAGCCATACATGTTTCAGCCACAAGGGGAGAGAGGCAACAGCATGTCCTAGTACACATTACGTCAGCTTAATGTATAGACCTTGTTCAAACCAGACAGAGTGTTCCAGGAAAGCATGTTCTGTTCTTATTGAGATCACACATGTGAACATACACACATAATTGCATGACATAAATGTATAAATATTGTATTTTATTTTATATACATATAATAACAACTGAATTAAATAATATAACAGCTTAAATCATTTTTGCACTTTTTGGTGTTCCCAGTCAAAAACGACCATCCTACAAAAAATTTTTTTTTGTTATGCTATATTATTACCAAATATTCACTCCAATCTTTTTGACAACTTGTTTTCTTTCAATTAACATAGCTTTTGTATTTTCTTTTGGAACTGGTTGATCATAGGACTGAAAAAGGCCTGAAGGATCATAGGATCTGAGCTTATGCACCTTTTTTAAAACATTACCAAAATTCTCCACAAATAATGCTTTTTTTAACTCAAAAACTTGAGGCCTATGACCAATCAGTTCCAAAAAGAAATACCAAACTTGTGCTTCTTGAAAGAAAAAAAGTTGACAAGAAGATTGAATCAAATATTTGGTGATAATGTAGCATAATGAGAAATTAACAATCACTTTTTTTTTTAAAGTTGCATGGTCATTTTTGAACAGGAACACCAAATTAGTTAAAGCATTTTTAGCACAGCACAAGGGTTAAAGAAAAAAAATTAAGAGGCTGTGGCATTGACCTAATTCAATGACCATCCATTAATTAGACACAGAGAACAGACACAAAACACTCATCAGCGTCCACAATGGCTCCAGACAATAGCAGATGGAAACAGACCACAAAAGCGCTGAATTATTTTAATTCAAACAGCATTCTGTTCATTGGTTCATTAAAATTAGTTAAAAACTAACTCCATTAATCCTGATGAAATTAAGAAGGAGTTGTCTTTGTATGTCTTTAAGAATGTAACATACATACACACATTGGATTGCAATCCTGAAAAATTAACAGCTTTGTGTCACTACATGTCTTTCTCTACATGGTTCATTACCTCTAAAATTCGACAAGTAACATCATAGGCGTTATTGGTTATGAATGTAGGAATTTGACGCTGACTTCTTGTGAGCTCACACACCCTCCAGGGCGTAGTGTGTGTGGAGGGGAGGTGGATTGTTGACTGGGACAAATTAAAGGGTGGGGGGTTACAATTTTGAGGAGGGGGTATTTTGGGTGAGAACAGGGTGGGAAAACTGGTAAAAAGCGATTCAAGCTGGACTAGAGCAGATATTCTGTGCACTGAAGCCAAACAACAGCATGCAAGTAAGCTCTGCAGCTTTAGTGTGCATGAGACAGTAAATACTCATTAAATCACTCATCTTTCTCTGAGAGTGTGTATATATGCCAACTCAAATAGAACCGTCAGGCATATCATTTCTTTTTGGGTTTCTGCAGAGGATTTTGTCATTCTGTTTAAACTATTGCACTACCATAGACTTGTGTTGAATGTTTGTGCTTTACTACTAAAGCACAGTTAGTTCCTCTAACACATTGTTTTTTTTACTACAGCCTATTTATCTCTCATTTTGAAAGTGTATATTAGTACGTATTTTGTTGTAATATTTGTTGTATATTTTTGTAATATACTCTTCATAAAGATTTCATCTTAGTTGATGTTGTTGATCATAGGTAATTATTCTTCTCACAATGCCACACAAAGCAGGAGAGAGTTGATTAGATTTGGTTAAATCATCAACAATAGTGGAGAAACACTATGGAAAATCCATGTGATTGGATTTTACAAAAGCAACAAGTTTTTAGAGATAATGCTTAAGGCAAATCTGGTGAAGCAAAACAAATGGAGTGTATCAACAATAGACAGTTAGGCCTATATTAGCCTGTCAGTGGAAAACTAATGTTAACAGCTGTGATCCATAATCTGATTGCATAAACATGGGTGTTTCTTTGTATGCCCGCTATGGTTTAATACACAACTATCTGTGATTGTGACCTTAATTGTGTCATCTCACCTCCGTGATAAGTTTTGCACAGTTGCTATTCTTATCCTGTGATATCTGATCTCAACACCATTTCATTAAACAGTATGCAGTGAAAGATTCACTCTATATGAGGTATCAGATCCCCAATCCCATTTAATGCTCTTGACAAACATTCTTTTCCTTACGTGGGAGAACAAGTTTTAAACAGAGTGTTAAGGATGCTCCTTATTACTGTTTAAACAGAACAACAATTTTCAAGTTATAAAAAGATATTTTGCTCTAAAAGCGTGGAAGGAGAGAGTCAGAAATTGAACGGAACCAAGTTTCATTTTCTCTGACTGGAAAGTAAGCTTTTTTCATGCAGGTCTGAGATCAGCTGTGTTCTGATTCAGGGTTTTTGTTATAGAAAAATAATGCAGAGTGATTCTACTTTGAGACACTATGTGTGCTTATGTGTGTCACTACAGGACTGCAAATTTCTTCTTTACCTACTTTCTTCCTGTAGATGTCAAAATTAGAAAAAAAGAGGAGGAGCTAAACAGGAGAAACAGGTGAGACCAGGAGAGAAAGAAATGGAAAAAAACCATGGAGCATGAAAATGGCTTCATTCAGAGGGAGCAAAAAAAATAAGAAAGACACTTTCTGGACCAAGTCAAAAACAACGAGAAAAAAATGTAATTGCTTGGTTTTTGTGTAGGAGTCTAAAGTGAAAAAAGGGGTTTGGGTTCAGATAATAAAATGGATCTCAATTAACTGGAAATAAAAAAAATCACACCACAACTTTTTTGGGACAAACAATTTCCTGCTGTTCCATATGGACGATAAGAATTCAAAGAAAATCTCTGGATTTATTTATCCTTTTAACACTGTTCCTGAATCAGCCTTCAAACAGAAGCCAGAAGCCTTCAGAGTTAGGACAAACTTCAAACTGCTCTCTGATCAGTGGCAAGTAGGTTAATGCTATTGGTGCGAAGTCACACAATTACCAGCAATGGGGGGCCTTGGCCTTCAACCCAGATTGTGCAGCAGGCTTGCTGTTCAGAATTCTAATCTGTTTCTCCTTTGGAATTTGCCTCTGTAAATTTCCACTGCAAAAAAAAAAAAAAACCTGCAAACAGACTGTCGGCTAGAAAATAAAAACGAACAAGGGTGTAAATACACATTTCCTGGTATGGTGTTGCTGGTACACCTGTTTCTCGGAAATGTGAAGATGAGCTTTCTTTGATCTTTTAGTCTTAAGAAGTTGCCATGCTATTCAAATTCACCCTATGAAGTAGCGTCCAATGGTGCTGGAAGCCTGAATTTAAACTGGAGCCATGGGGACTTGTGGAGACTGGCCTGATGCCTAAAAGTGTAGTTAAGCAAAACTGAATTGGCCAGGAGTAATGATCTAAGAATGTCTTAAACACACTATAAAACTTTGATTATGTGAAATAATAATAATAATAAAACAACTTCTAAACAATGATGATAAATGTAATACATTAAAACATAATGGTCTTGTGGACAAAATTTAAAGTGCAGCATGAGAAAAACGAGGTTAACATTTTCTCAATGGCTGAATTCTAAAATGTTCATTGTCCTTAATCTTATAATGCAGCACACAAACGTTTTCAAAAAGAACTATAATCCCATCTCATCTGTTGCTATCTTTAATTTGAGGCATCTTTCACAATCATTCCTTTAAATGTCCACTAATTAAATCAATCAGGCATGTTGTTGAATTGATACAATAAAAAGGATTAGCACTTAAAATGTACCAGTAACAACATACCAAAGCCAAGATTCAAACTTATTTCAAGTCCCAGTTATATGACATGTTGCAGTATGGAAGTCTAAAAACTAAAAACCTTACACGTGTGAAAATTATAAATAGTTAAATGAATTGGTCCTGAATAGTGAGAATGTTTTCCTCATGTTTCACTGGAGACGTGCCAGCACACTAGCAAGCTACTGAGTGAAAGAGGAGGAGGAGGGTGAGAAAGAGGAGGAGGGCGTGCTGCTCAGATAAGCTATTTAAAGCTGAAACTTCTGTGCACAGACCTGAAGCTTTCTTTGTTGTCATAGCTGAACGGGTTCTATCATCGCCAGTGAACTGTCAGTGATTTGGACAACATTTCAACTGTCGCAAGTCACTTGGAATTTGAAGAATTCTTTTGGGTGATAGTGCCAGTGTAAGTGCGTTTCAAGAGAACAACCGGTGAGTCAGTTTGATTAGCCTATTTAATATTATTTATCAAATTGAACACTGAATTATACAAATATGCAAAATTCTAAGTAAATACTAACTTCGCAGTCTTATAAAGGCTGTCAAACAATCTGGAGGGGTGTCAAAGTGGGAGTATCTCACAGTAATAATTGTCTTGCTACAGGGAAGAAAATGGGCTATACGTTGTTAAAATGGTTTGTAATTTTAACAAGAAAAAAATTAAATGCTACAGTAAAACGTGTTAAGTGGGTAGCTGTTAATGAAAATATATAACATACAATAATGGCAATTTAACTGTAAAACTGCTTTTGTGTATGAATTATTATATGTACAGTGTAATCTTAATTGCTTCCAACAAGACAATACATGTATACTTTTACAGAAACCTTTTTTTAAATTGTGTTTAGTACAAAATATGATTCACCTTGTAATTTTTTTAGATAATCTGTGTAGCATTGTTTTGTTTGTGTATAGAACACTGCAGTGTATGTTTATTTGTTCTTGCGTAAAGTCACATTTAGACTAATATTAATGTGACCTTCTATTTGATCATCTATTTTACGACTATACCTACAAAATATAGGCACTCACAAAAATAACATCCCACATACCTGAAACGTTTTAACAGTTTCTTTAGGCTTTTTAGGCTACATATTATGAAAGATTCCTTTTATCGTGTAGCACCGTGAACTTCCTGAGGGTTAAATGCATTATCAAACCAATAAACTATTCCACGTACTCTCTATCAACAAATAGCCTGTAATCTTCAGAGGGCAATTTGTTCATTAGGTTTTCATTCATCATTTGGCACACTGTTTAAAGGGACAGTTCACCCAAAAATTTTAATTATCCCATTATTTACTCACCCTCAAAGCATCCTAGGTGTGTATGACTTTTTTCTTTCAGACAAATCCAATCGGAGTTATATTAAAAAACATCCTGGCTCTTCCTAGCTTTATAATGGCAGTGAATGGGTGTTATTTTTCAATAGTCCAAAACAAGTCCA